GTCCCGGGAGCCCCGAGGAGGAGGAGGAAGGGCGGCACTGGGCCTGCCCTTAGCTCAGGGCTGTGTGTGCGCAGGAGAAGCGGAGGCTGCAGGAGGAGATCAGCGCTGCGCGTCGCGAGCTGGAGGAGGAGAAACTCCGTGTGGAGCGGCTCAAGGTTGGGGACTCCCTTCCAGCCCTGGCAGCGAAGTGGGGGTGTCTTTGTGAGGCCGGCTGAGAAACAATAGTGACCTCTGTCCAATTTGGGAGGGGAGATGAAGAGGAGGCAGGTGAAAGGTAGCCATGGAGACAGCTGCCCCCACTCTGGAAGAGTATGGGGAGGGTGGAGGACTTCTCCGAGGTTGGAGGTATTGAGAGGCACCTTTGGCCAACGCTGGGGTGGCGCATTGGGAGGTCTTTCTGGGCTTGGCAGGGTCAGTCGACCGGGCGGCTGGAAGAATGAAGTACCTCTGCTTGGGAAGGCTGCTTGCTGGAATGGTGTTGGGGGGACGAGATATGGACATGTCTCCCAGCCTGATGGATGTGCCCTCTAGACGGTTGCAAGCAATGGGTGGGGAGGCAGGCTTCCCCTTGCCAGCTCCGGACTCCCTTTCCATGCCCAGAGGAAATCTCTCCGAGAACGTTGGCTCATGGATGCGGCGGCTGAAGGACCAGAGTGGCCGGAGGACCTGGCCTCCAAGGACCCCCAGTCGCCTGAGGGACAGGCCAAGACCCGAATTCGTAACCTGGAAGACAGCTTGTTTTCGTGAGTCGGGAATCCCTGCTTTTGAGCCATGCCCCAGCCTTTGATAGCCCTCAGAAACCGAGCAGGTTTAGTCTGCCCCGGCTTCCAGCAGCCCCTCTCTCCCTCAGACTCCAGTCACAGCTGCAGTTGTTACAAAGCGCGTCCACAGGTGCCCAGCACAGACCTGCTGGAAGGCCCATCTGGCGCAAAGAGGTGAGCAGGGGCAGGAAGGGGTGAGGAGGAGGGGGTGTGTCCAGCCGAGTTAGAAGGGGACTCAGCAGAGGTGTGCTGTCTCTCTCAAATGCAGCCTCTGTCTTGGTGTGCAGTCAAACCCACTGCTACTTTACTCTTGATGTATAGCTGGGACCTGGCCCCTGGGGTCCTCCTCTTTCTCTTGCTCCTAGATCTCTTTTCATTCCCCCCAGATTTCTCCCTCTATTTATTCTCTCTGACTGCCCTGCTATCCTTTCTCCTGTCTCACCATTGACCAGTCAGCTCTTCATTAGACCGATCAGGTGTTTCAGACAGGCAAAATAACACTGTTTCACAGAGTTAAACAAATGCAACATTAAAGAATGCAACACATCTTTGCATCGCTAAACAAATGTACAGCATTAACAAATGTAACATATCTTAATAATATTCTACAATGTATCCTGGAACAATGTTCTCCAACCAAGCACTCTGGACAGAGCACACCCCTCTGTTCTCCTCCAGAAGCCTTGCCCAGGCTTGTCTCACAGGAAACACTGTCACCCCCAGATTTCTCCCAGCTTCTTCCCATCACTGCTTCCTTCTCTCTCCCCCTTCCATTGTGCAAACATTGTGTATTTCTATTTGTTGTTATGTTTATTAGTTTCCTCTTCCCATTGGAACTTAAAGTCTGATTGCATCAGGTCTTTTCAGGTTGGGGTTATGGCTCAGCTGTACTGCACTGGCCTTGTGTGTACCAGGCCCTGCGTTCCATCCCAGCACTTCCTCCCTCCCCCCAAATCCTTTGTCTATGGTAACCTCAGAAGCTGGCCAAGGAAGCATTAACATAGTATTGATTAACATATCTGGGAGGTAGAAACCAGGGCCGATTTGACCTTGTCTCTATTTTGCTTGCAGGGTCCCCGTCCTCTCTCTCAGCCCACCATGGAAGCAGGTCCTGCAGGTAAGTGTTGGAATCTCAGGTCTAGGGTACGGACCTCCAGATCACTTGACCCAAAAGAATCTGGGATGAGGTTCCTCTTTGTCCCCCATTGTCCTGACCTCCCTACCTTTCTCTCCCTTGATTCCCCCAGGCCTCACTGAAGTGGACAAGAGAACTTCCCTGCCAGCTGGTCCAGTGGGCTTTTCCCCTGAGTCCCCCTCTGATCCCAGGGAGGAGCTCATTGAGGTCCTGCCAGCCTTGAGGCCATCCCCTGAGGCCATAGGAGCCTCTTCTGAAGCCAATGGCCCCAGCCCTGGGCATAGCCCTTTCCCAGAGCAGCTGAGCCGAGGGCCAGTGAGTGTCACTAAGGCCAAAGGAGAAGGTGTGGTGGAGGTGGTTTGGGCTGGGCTCAGAGCCACTGAGAGCAGTGCCACAGACCCCACAGGTGTGGATTTGGAGGCTAAGGTGGAGGAAGTGGTGCTGGAGGCCATCGGGGCTAAGCAGGGCACCAGCAGCCCTAAGCTCCCCACTTGGGTGAAGGAGGGCAGGGGTGTGATGGAGGTGGTCTGGGAGGGGTTGGGAGGCAGTGATCCGGATGTCACAGAGGAGTCAGGCAGGAATACAGAGGCCACACAAATCAGTTCCCTGAGGCTCCAGGAGCAATTTGAGGCCGAAACTTCCAGAAAAGAGGAAGATGCTTCTAGAGATAGTCCTGAGGGTGTTGGGCAGGGGGCGCCTGGAGGAGAGGAGGCTTCCTTCATTTGGGTAGAGAGAGTACCCCTCAATGAAGATTGGGAGGAGCTCTTGATGGAGGGCTTGGAAGCACCCCCAGGGGCAGGGTGTGTGGGAGCACCTGAAGCTTTGATGGGAGCACAGCCAGGAGGGAGTGAAGAGTCCTGGGAGGTGGAGAGGAGAGAAGTGGAGAAATCAGAGTGCATGGAAGAAAAGGGAATGGCAGAAAAGCTCAGAGTGGAGACGGGTGGGGCAGCTGAGGTGCCAGGGCCAGCCCAGGCAAGAGAGGAAAGCCAGGCTGAAAAGGAGAAAAAAGACAGCGAGGGCCCCTTGCGGGCAGAGGGAGCAACAGATGAGGAAAAGCAGGAGGTGAAAGTGAAGGAAGATGAAGAGCCACTGGAAGTAGAAAAGGGAGGTGAGGAAGAGCCAGCCACCACTGGGAAGCCATTGGTGACAGAGGCAGAATCAGAGGGCCAATTTGAGCCAGAGAGAAATGGAAGTGAGAAGTCACCGGACCAGGAGAGAGATGGTGAGAGCTCATTGGACAGAGAGTCAAAAGCAAGTGAAAAACTATTGGAAGGAGAGACAGGAGGTGAGGGCTCAATGGATGAAGAAACTAGGGGAAGTAAGAAGCTATTGGATAGAGAGCCAGGAGGCAGTGAGCCATCATCTGAGGCAGAAAAGACCCCAGGCGCCAAGGAAGAGGTGGGTCCAGAAGAGCAAGGAAAATCCAGTGAAGCAGCAGGGTCTACGGTGGAGGATGCCAGCCAGCCAGGAGCCCTGCTTCAGGTCCAGGAGGAGCCAACATCAGAGGAGCAAGGACTACAAGGCCTGGAGAAGCAAGAAGGACCAGTGGAAAAGACAGCCAGGGAGCCTCTGCCCTGTGCTGAGAGTGAGGGTTCCCCTGGGGATGCCACCCCCCTCTTAGCAGAGACCCCAGCCCCAGAGCAGCTGGTGGAAGGCCAGCCACTGCTCCATCAGGAAGTGTCCAGCACCAATCCCGGTGATCACCCAGCACCTACCTATGCACCTGCCCGGCAGCTTGAGCTAGCTGAGGCCAAAGAGGCTAGTGGCCCTAAGCAAAAGACGTGCCAGTGTTGTGTGGTCATGTGAGCCTATGCCTGCCGCCCAGCACCCTACTCCTCTCACAGCTACCTCGCTGCCTGGCATCCAGCAGAAGGTCCCAGGCACAGACAGGGTACCATAGGACTGGTGGCGGTACTCAGCAGCCAGCAGGCCCCTGTGTTTACTTACACCTGGGCTTTTAGACACCTTGCCCACTGCCTGTGGCCCTGAATCCCTTCTGCAATGAAGCCTTTATACTTGAAAATTAAACATTAAGGCACTCTGGCAGCCTGACTGTATGTCTTTTTTGTTTTGTTTTTTACTTTTTGAGGCAGAGTTTCTTTGTGTAGGCCTGGCTATCCTGGAACTCATTCTATAGCCTTGAACTCAGAGATCCATCTGTCTCTGCCTCCCAAATGCTGGGATTAAAGGCGTGCATCACCACTGCCTGGCTTGCTTATTTATTTATTTTTATTTCATGTGTGTGAGCGTGCAGTGCTCACAGAGGCCACAAGGTATTGGATTCCCTAGAACTTGGGTTACATGTGACTCTGAGCTATGCTGTGGGTGCTGGGAACTGAACCTGAGTCCTCTGCTAGGCCAGGAAACCAGACTGTGTTCTTCTGCAAGAAAACAAGGGCACTCAACTGCTCAGCCATTTCTTCAGCCCCTCGAATGTATCTTTTGACATGGAATCACCTCCTTATATGAGGCTTGAAAGTTGATCTTACTAGAATCAAAGGTTGTGACTGGGTGAGATGACACACACCTGTAGTCCCAGCCTGGGGATGTTGCAGCAGGGGATCACAGTTTGAGACCAGCCTTGGTCACATATCAAGACTCTGACATGATAAAGAAAACAACAACTTGGTGGCACAGTCTTTAATTTCTGTACATGGAGGCAGAACCAGGTGAATCTCTGTGAGTTCCAGCCCAGCCAAGGCTACATAGTGAGATCCTGTCTCAAAAAACTAAAAAAAAAAAAAAAGTCTAATCCAAGAAGGGACACAGCCCCCAGCCTGAAGCAGATTGGGCTAGAACTTAGGGGCAGGAGGCCCAAGGCCCAGATCCTCCGGTGTGGGTAGGAAGTGTTTCTCATACCCAGAGTGAAGGGGGGCAGAGGCTGGAGGGGGCTCAGCAACAGCCTCCAGCTCCATCTCCTCCACTTCCAGGATGGGTCCGTCCTTGGGTGGCTGGGGCAGGCTCACCTCCTGGGAAGATGGAGGCTTGAAACTCAGTAGTCCTCCCCTCCCACTTGCCCCAGTATCCCCCAGTTGGAGAGTGGTGCTCCCACAGTTGGCATTTTCTCACCGTTATGTAAGGTTGCCCAGAATTGCTGTTGGCAGGGTCAGGAACCCTCTCCCAGATCCACTGGGGAAGCAACTTGTGTCGCTGGTGGAGGCACCTGGCCAGCAGGGACCCAGTGCAAACATTTGCTAGAATCCATGAACTTCCTGAGCCCCGAGGCCACCCGTCCAAGGCCTAGCTGCTGAGTCCCCACCAGGGAAGGGAACCCATACCTGAAAGCCTTACCTGATAGTGGCCAGGCTCAGGCCACAGCCCATCAGGAACAAGCTCCACAGGGACAGGACCCAAGGCAGAATCTTCCACCTGACCTCATTATCTGTGGGTGGGGAGGATAGGTGGGACTATGCAGCCATCTTGAACAAGGAGTCTGGGAATGGGTGGGGCTAAGGGGGTAGCTATTCTGAAGAATGGGGTGACATTTTGGGGTATAGAGGTGTGCTAACAGGCAAAGTCGGGGTTGAGGAGATGCTGTTCTAGACATACATTGCTGGAAAATTCAGCATTTAGAAGAAGCAAAGCACCCCCAGGGAGACTTGGGGTGTGGTCCTGGGTTCCATCCTCAGTACTATACTATACATAATCCTCTCCATCAAAAGCTATCCACCACTGAAGCCCATGTTATGACTTCAAGACACCCCTAGCCGGAAGTGGGCAGGTAGCCCCATCCCCACCTCATACCTGGTAGGTGAAGCCAAAGACTGGGACCTGGTGGGCCCTGTCCGGCAACAGTGGACACCATCACCCACAGCTCGAAGGAACCCCAGTGAAGGCTAGGCAGAGTGACAGTCTGGGTATTACTGCTCACTGAAGGACACAACCAAAGACGTTGGGAACCAGTGAAATCAAGCCTTGGAACCTCTGTGCATGCTCTTTTCTCTATAACTTTCCACATGGCTCTGTCTCAGTCTTCTTTATTTATTTATGTGACCTTTCATTATTTTCTGGGGGTTGTGCCCATATGCATGCCATGGCACACACAAGAAGGTCAGAGGTCATTTCTTGCCACTCGTTCCACCATAGAGGTTTTGAACTTCGTGGTAGGGTCCATCTGATAACCTCTGGTCTGTAAATTTCGTTCATTGTCACTTCCTTAACCAATCTTCTGACCTTTCATTTAAAAGGGACCCTCATTTTATGCACAGCTCTAATGGACATGTGGCTGATTAGATGCTATCTTGGTTGTCTGTGTCTGTGAATCTTCCATTGGGAAGTCATCTGCCTGGCTGCTTGCTTCCAGTGCACAAGGCCCTGAGTTTGATCCCCATCCCCAAGGAAGCAAGAAAGTGCAGAGGAAGGAAATGGTCTTGGACACAGTAATGTGTGCCTTGGATGCAATTTCCAGGTCAGGTTGAGATCAAAGGAGACCCTGTCTCAACAGACAAAAAAAATCAAGTTTCACAAACCCACCGTAACCACCTGTGCACAGTATTTGTTAAAAACCACTTTCTGATTGAGGAGCAAGAGGACATGCCCCTGGAGTGTCCCCATGGTAACTGTTTACTTAGTCTCTGTGTGATGGCCTAAGTGTGGAGGTCATGTGGGAATTGGTTCTCTCCTTCCACAGTGTGGGTGCCAGGGATTGAATTCAGGTAGTCAGACTCAATGGCAGGGATGTTAATTTGGTGAGCCATTTCACAGGCCGGTGAGTCAGATTTTGTAACAAGTTCAGATAACTTTTATAGTTAGGAAGAAAAGAATAACGGTTGTGATTGGGATAAAACCTAGGGCTTCGTACATGCTGGACACTTGCTGAGCCCTGGCCTGGCCCCTCACTGGGGAATTCCAGGCAGGAACTCTATGCTGAGGCACCCCCTCAACACAGTAGCAATGCTTTTGAAAAGGAGTCTGTTCTTTAGATTTTTTCTTGTGTGTGTGGGTGGTGGTGAATGGATGCTTTGCCTTTGTCTGTGCACCACGCTCATGCAGTGCCAGTGGACACCAGAAAAGGGTGTCAAATCCTCTGAGGCTGGAGATGAAAGGCTGTTTTCTGCTATGTAGGTTCTGGGAACTGAACCCAGGACCTCTGCAAGAGCAGTCAGCGCTCTTAACTGTTGAACCTCTCGCCAGCCTCAGGCATTTGTTATTATATTAAAATATTAGCCTATCTCAAGGGGAACAGAGGGAAATAAAAATCCCATGCAATCCTACAAGCTCTGTTGACATTGAGAGAAATTTCTTGGCATATTGTGCCTTGGCTTTGCTCAATGCTGGGCCTCTTTTTCTCAAAAACAAAGCCATCTCAGAATCTGTAATCCTTCTTATACTTGTCACTTAATGGAATGTGACAGATATGCATCACTGCCATCGAGGATAGTCTGGAGCCTCCGTCTTGAATGTTTCATCAGTAGCCAAGACTTATTGTCCTCTGGGAACTTGGTGACAGAATTCCCAGGAGCTGGGAATGTAGGGACAGGGTGGGTGACAGGTGGGTCTTTGGGGATAGAGGAAGGGACAGGAGGCTGGAAGCTCACCGTTCTTGCAGACAGTAGGGATGGCTCTGCCCTGTATGCACAAGGTATAGTGTGTGGCCCAGCCTCGGAGCTTGTGTCTTGGTACCTCTTCCCATGCTATCACAGGTGTCCCTGGGGGGTCATCTTGGAGTCGCCAAACTGCTGGCCCAGCAAGGGGTACTGTGAGGAAACCCAGTGTATCAGTATCTACTGCAGTTCCGTGAGGTCCACCCCTCTTCCCCTAATGCCACTTCTTACCTAACTCTTCAATGAATCCCCAAACTGAGGGTGCGGCAGCTAATCCCCCAGGGAACACTGCAGTCACTGTAAGCCGATAGGGGACCCCTCCTTCGAAATCTCCTGGGGGAACAGGAAGAAGAGGACATTGACAGCTGGGCCTCCCTCCCTCCCCCAAGCAGAGCTTACTTGTAGAAACTATCACTTGGACCCTGGGGGACGCTATTCACAAAGTGCCAGTGAGACCTGAGACTAGAGGGAAAAGGTAAGCAAGCTGTAAACAGCACAGGAGGGGACAAGTCCCAGTTGTGTGCAGTGACTTGCACCTGTGGCACTCTGAGGCTGGGCTACACAAAACTAAAAAGCTGGGCTGAGAGTGTAACTCAGTTGGCAGAGTGCCTGCCTAACTTATGCAAAGCCCTAGTGGGGCTCTCAATAAAAGCAGAATTTCTCTTGACCATTGAGCCATCTCTCTAGACTCTTATTTTATTTTTGATACAGCCATACTATATAGACCTGGCAGGCCTTGAACTCACAGAGACCGGTCTCCCTTTGCTCCTGAGGGCTCAGATTAAAGGCACTGATGTGGGGGCACATGCCTGTCATCCCATCACTTGAAGGGTGGATACAGGAGGATCAGAAGTTCAAGATCATCATTGGCTCGTCAGTTCAAGGCCAGCCTGGGATACATGAGACTATCTGGGGAGAAAAAAGAATAGAATAAAAACTAAAATAATATCTGGGTGTGTGATACACACCTTTAGTCCAGGCCAGCCTGATCTACACAAGGAGTTCCAGCCAGGCAGAGCTGCACAGTGAGACAGTTTAAAAAATGAAAAAATGATTAAAGAGCTGCAGAGATGGTTCTGTGGTTAAGAGCACTGGCTGCTCTTCTAGAGGACACAGGTTATGTTCCCAGCACCCACACGGCAGCTCACAACCATCTACAACTCCAGTTCAGGGGATCTAACATCTTCTTCTGGTCTCCATGGGTACTGTAAGCACTTGGAACACACATTCATACACACACAAAAAAGAAATTGGGTTTTTGTTTTTGTTTTGTTTTGTTTTGAGACAGGATTTCTCTGTGTTGCCCTGACTGTCCTGGAACTCACTCTGTAGACCAGGCTGGCCTCAAACTCACAGAGATTCATATGCATCTGCCTCCCGAGTACTGAGATTAAAGGCATACGCTACCACCACTTGGCACACACAAATAGAGAATAAGAAACCAGGTATCATAGCTAATACCTTTAAAGCCAGCACTCAGGAGGCAGAAGCAGGTGGATCTCTATGAGTTCAAGGCCAGCCTGGTCTAAGAGTTAGTTCCAGGACTGCCAGAAATATATATTGAGACCCTGTAACAAAAATAAAATAGAATAAGGAGCCAAGCATGGTGGCACATACCTTTATTCTCAGCACTGGGAGACAGAGTAGGTGAGTTTGAGACCAGCCTGGTCTACAGAGTGAGTTCTAAGACAGCCAGGACTACACAGAGAAACCATGTTTTGAAAAAACAATAAAAAATTATAAAGAAAATTAAATAAAACAAGGATCTGGAGAGCTATCTCCATAGTTCTCTCTCTTAGAGAGAACATTGCACTTACAGAGGGCCCAGGGTTGGTTTCCAGCACCATGTATGTAACTCCAGCTCCAGGAGCTTCTGAGAGTACCTGCACCCATGCGCACATAAACACAGACACATAGCATCCATGCACACATACACACGGATGCATAATTAAAATGTTTTAAGATCTTAAGAGTAAACCCAAAAGATCTTAAGAGTAAAACCAAACAAAATGTGGATTTGGGGAGTCCAGTCTCAAGTGGAGACTGGACTACAAAACACTCGTGAGCCTTAGCTCACAGGGCACTGAGGAAGAAGAGGCAGGAAGATTTAAGAGCTGGAGCGTCAGGGAGTTTCCTGCGGACTGTGTCTCCTAGAGAAGTCAAAAGTTGCGCCTGTGAAGTCTCTCTGGTGTGACTGCCCAAATGTGAGCTGAACAAGGACGACACCAACAGACTCGCCAAAGCGGATGGGGAAAAACCCATGGGTGCCTAAGCCCTACACAAAGAACTGCAGTCCACTAAGGAGTGCGGAGATCGGGGGAATCCTCTTCCCAGGGAAGAGCACAGCAAGTGGTTGAGCAATACCAAATGGTCAGCCTGAAGACATTCAAGTAACACTATACAGACTGAGCAGTATATATAGACATATAGTGCAGACTATATGTGTATAAATACATGTATACACGTATATGCATGCATAGTAACTAATGAAAACAAGAGGCTGTGAATTTGAAAGAGAGCAAGGAGGAGTGTATGGAGGGTTTTGGGGGAGGAGAGGGAAAGGACAAGTGCAATTATATTATAATCTCAATAAAATAAAATAAAATAAAATAAGTATCAGGGCAGCAGTGGTGGTGCACTCAGGAGGCAGAGGCAGGCAGATCTCTGTGAGTTCGAGGCCAGCCTGGTCTACAGAGGGAGTTCCAGGATAGCCAGGGCTATTCCACAGAGAAACCCTTTCTCAAAAAAACAAACAAAAATAAGTAAATAAAAAAATATAAAATAAGTAAGTCCTCAAAGTAGGGAAAGCAGGGAAGCCAGGCTCTGCAGCTCAATGCAGGGAAGCAGAGCGCATAGTTCAGCCCTCTTTGTTGCTGGTCCAGGGCTGCTCCTGAAGGGCATTCTCCAGCATTTGTGCTCAGGCATGTTGCTCTGTTAGTAAGTGGCTACAGTGTGATTTTGCCCCAAGGCCAGGAAATAAAAGTGCAGGCCACTGAGAGGCAGGGCCACAGACCTGCATATGAGTGATACTCCTCTCAAGACAGTGGTGTGCCTGCAAAGTGGGCCAAAGGAGGAGTGATCCAGAATCATTATCCCTCCCTCCTTTCTCCTTCTACTGCCCCTCCCCCTTCCTTCACCTCCCTCATTTCTCATTCCTCTTCCCTCCTTCCCTCCCTCATTCTCCCTTTCTCCTCCTCTCTTCCCCTCACCCAGGCTGTCCTAAAGTTAGTAAATAGTGATCATCCTGCCTCAACTTCCTGAGTACAGGTGTAGACCACCACAGGCTAGGACTCCTCTTTTCATCAGTGCAAGCTTCAGCATCTGACCTATGTTTCCCTGCCAACGCCTCATTTTCTCCCTTTATACCTGAGGCCCGCGTCCAAATACCATGCCTCAGTCTGAAAGCCTTTGATGACCTCTGGAGTTTCCCCAATTTGAACCATATCTGGTCCCAGGTCTACAGGTGACCTCCCTCTGGCACAGACTCCCACCAGGGCACCATAGCCAGAACGGAACCGCTAGGGTCAGTAGATGAAGCACCGTGTTCTGAGGCCCCCAAAACTGTGAGCTAAATAAATCTCTTTATAAAAAAGTGTCAGCCCCAGGTGCTCTGTTATAGCAACAGCACATGTACTGTTGTAGATGGAATCCCAGCTTCCCAGGGCCTAACCTGGTAACAAAGTGCTGAGGTTTTCACTAGGAAGACGGAACCAGCTTAGCTTGTCCAGGCTGTCACCATCTTGAGCCCAGTCCACCACATACTCCCATGGTTCCATGGTCCCTTGTCGCCAGGTCACCAGTAGCCCTGGGCCCCCATCAATGCTGCTGACCACCACATCTTGGGGGGCAGATTCTGGAGCTGGAAGCAGAAGGAGACATCTTAACTGTTCTTTCAGGAAGGCTAGCTTGTCCCCCAAGGTGATGGGCAGAGGTCATTCGTGTTGTTTTACCCAAGCAGACCAAAGACAGGTTGGTGAGAAGTGTCCTGTTGGTGGTGTTGGCAGTGAATACTGCAGCCCACTCCATCAGTGTGGGGATGGAGGACTTGCAGCAAGGGACCTCTTCTTGAGTCATAGCAACATCTCCAACCCCAAACCAGACTCTGTAAGTCACTTGCACACAGGGTCCTGGGTCCTGAGGGGAGGAAATGTTATGGTTAGCAGCCCCCCATTCTGTTGAGTACCCACTATTTATGATGGCAAGGCTCCTGTGAAGTCAGGCAGTGTGGCAGCTCGTGAGTCCCAGCTTATGGAGGTAGACACTGAATCTCAGAGAAGGGGCTGGGGAGGGAAAGGAGACACCTCTGAGGGTATAAAGTTTAAGGGGGAGCCTGGAGTACTGAGATCTACAATCTCAGTACTCAGGAGGCAGAGGCAGGAGGAGTTGCCACAAGTTTCAGGCCAGCCTGGGCTATATGTGACCCTGTCTTAGGAAACAAAACTAAATCTGTAGCAATCTGGGTACCAACTTTACATAAAGATAACTTTGATCCTGCACCTATGGCCCTGCCTCATTCTGTTCTCACCAATCCTGGTTTAGGTACCAATCAGACAAGACTTTAAAAACAGAACAACAGCAGCAGCAGTGACAACAACACCCTGGTCCTGGCACTTGAGTTTGCTGACTTGATTTTTTTTTAAATATTTAAATTCAGGGCCGGGGAGATGGCTTAGTTGGTAAAGTAATTGGTAGAGACAAGTGGATCCCTGGAACTCACTGGCCAGCCAGCCTACCCTGGTGGTAAGCTACAGGAAAAGTGAAAAACCATGTCTCAAAAAACATGGTGGTCAGAGCCTGAGGAAAGACAAATGTCCTCTGGCCTCTTCATACACACCTAAACACATATGAACACCCATGCACATACACAAATATTTATATTTTTCAAGATTTTGTGTGTGTTGGGGTATGTGCACATGACTTCAGCACCAAAGGAGCCAGAGGGTTCCCTGGAGCTGGGGTTATGGAAGTTGAGAGCTGCCTGGTGTGGTAGTTTAGCCTCAAGCTCACACTCTCTGCAAGAGTGGTAAGCTCTTCTAACCGCTGCACCTTCTCTCCGGCCCCACTAACGTTTATCTTAAATATCAAATTCTTTTATTTCTATTTTGTGTGAATGTGTGTGTGTGACTGCTGTGTGTAAGTGTACCCTCAGAGACCAGAAGACAGCATGGATCCCCGGGAATTGGAGCTTCGGTTGTGATCTGAGATGTGGGTTCTGGGAACTGAAGCTGGGTCCTGTTCAAGAGCAGCCAGGGCTGAGCCATCTTTGCAGCTCCACATCCAGCTTTCTACATGGCTCCTGAGATTGAACTCTTCTGGCTTGCCTCAGCACTTCATCCCTTGTGTCTCTCTTTTCTTTGAAACAGGACCTCACAAATAGAAGGCCGGCCTCAAACCCAATATATAGTCAAGGATGACCTTGAACTAGGTCCTTGGTCTTCCTGCTTCTACCTCCCCACTGCTGGTATACAGAGGCACTGTCACGTCTCTCACTCAGTGCTGCAGACAGAACCCACAACCTCAGACATTCTAGGGAAGCTGCACTTCTGGACTGCATCCCAGCAGGACCTAAGAGCTTTGAAATATTCATTAAAGGTTCCTGTTCTGTTGCACACCTCCGGCTCCCTCCCTTGTGGCTTTGTTACTTCATCCCCAGTGGAAACTTACAAGGATGGGAATGTGTAACAGTTTAAGTGATTCCAGAAAACTCAAGCAAGGAGCAATATCTAACAGAGTCAATACCACAACTTAGGAGATAAAGGCAGGTGGATCTCTGTGGGTTAGAGAGTATAAATGCACACACGTGCATCCACACATATACACTTTTACATGCATGCATACACTCACACATCTGCATGGACTCATGCATAAACACATGTGGAAATAAATGCTTGGTTTTGGTTGTGTGGCTCAAGGTTCACTTATTACTTGCAGAGTTCAGCCATGGCCAGCAGACATTATCTGTTCAATAGTATATTTTTTTTCATTGTTGGGCATGGACCCTGGGACCTTGTACATTCTTACCTAGTATTCTGACTTTTATATCTTATTCTATTTTACGTGCATTGGTGTTTTGCCTGCACGTTTGTCTGTGTGAGGGTGTGAGATCTCCTGGAACTGAGATCACCAGTTCTACAGAGAGTGGTGAGCTGCTATGTGGGTGCTGGGAATTGAACCCGGGTCCTCTGGAAGAGCAGCCAGTGCTTTTAACTGCTGAGCCATCTCTCCACTCTTAAGCCCCCCTTTCAAATCTTTTTTGTTTTTCAGACTAAGATGCCCTGACCTTGAAGTCACTCTGGCTAGTCTTGAACATGCGGTCTTCCTGCCTTGGCCTTTTGAGCAGCTGGGATCACAAGCCACCTTGAGTCAGGAGGACTGTGACACCCTCTTTTACCACCTCTGTGATGGCAGCACGGGACTTATCAGGACAAGTGTTACACCTTGCCAAGCTGCACTGAGATCATGTCCTAAGTCTAGACTTTCATATCTGCTGCCTCCTGCCTGGGACACTGGATCCCACTCAACACCTCAGATTTCTCACAGGTTGGTGGTGGTGGTGGAGACTTCGCTGGCACCCAGCGCTGCAAGAGACCCCTGCAATCCAGGAAATAACCTCCAGGGGGCAGCAGAGGAGGCCATTGCTGCTTGGGCGTTCCCAAACCCCTGCAGACTTACCTTCCAGAGAAGCAGGGCTGCTCGTTTGCCAGATGTCTCACAAACGGTGCCGGATACCCACACATCTTCCGGAGATGAGGAGGAGGGGGAAAGGCAGGTACAGTTAGATGGACAAGGCTGCCTGGCCTATGGGGGGCCCAGAAGTGCAAGACAAATGGAGACACCCTCACCCAGGAAGGGCGTCTGGAAGGACAGGTCCCGGCTCCACTCGCCCCATGGATATCCGCTCTCCACTCGGCAGCGGCCTGACACCTGGTAGCTGGTGCCAGGTTCCAGGTTCTGCATCACAACAGGAGTCATCAAGTTCGTCCTCAGTTGTGGCTCCAGCTGGGTAAAGGAAAGGGAAAGTGATGGGGCAGCCCTCTGTGCTGAGGAGACTTTCTTCTTCTTTTTCCAACGCTGTGTGTAGCCCTGGGTCTGGCACAGGCTGAGCAAGCCCTCTAGCACTGAGTAGTTACAGCAAGCCTGTGTGTGTGTGTATGTGTGTGTGTATGTGTAGGTGTGTATGTGTGTGTGTGTGTGTATGTATGTGTTTGTGTGTGTGTGTGTATGTATGTATATGTGTTTGTGTGTGTGTGTGTTTATGTGTATGTGTTTATGTATGTGTGTGTATGTATGTGTATGTGTTTATGTGTGTGAGTGTGTGTGTGTATGTGTGTATGTGTGTGTGTGTATGTGTTTGTGTGTGTGTATGTGTTTATGTGTGTGTGTATGTATTTATGTGTGTGTGTATGTATGTGTATGTGTTTATGTGTGTGAGTGTGTGTGTGTATGTGTGTATGTGTGTGTGTGTATGTGTTTGTGTGTGTGTATGTGTTTATGTGTGTGTGTATGTATTTATGTGTGTGTGTATGTATGTGTATGTGTTTATGTGTGTGAGTGTGTATGTGTTTGTGTGTGTGTGTGTGTGTGTGTGTGTGTGTGTGTGTGTGTACAGGTGTTGATGTTAAGTGGCTTCCTCTGTAGATCAACATCTTACTTTTTTGTTGTTGTTGTTGTTTGTTTTTTCGAGACAGGGTTTCTCTGTGTAGCTTTTGGAGCCTGTTCTGGCACTTGCTCTGGAGACCAGGCTGGCCTCGAACTCACAGAGATCTGCCTCCCGAGTGCTGGGATTAAAGGCGTGCACCACCAAGGCCCCGCAACATCTTACTATTTTTAACTCTATTTATTATTGTGTATACGAATACATTATGGGTATACAGTATACTATGGGGGCGGTTAGAGGATGAGTATGGAGTAAGGTTCTCTCCTGCTCTTTATGTGGGTCCCATAAATCGAACTCAGGTGGTAAAGCTTGCATCTAGGTCATCTCACTCGCCTCCACTTCATTTTGAGACAAGGTCTCTCACTGACTCATTTGCTAGCCTGGATGCTCATAAGTCCTGGGACACACCTGTGTCTGCCTTTTCTGAGGGAGGCTACATAGTGCCACCATGCCTGTCTTTTTTACACGAGTGCTGGGACCTCAGGACCTCACTTCTGTGTGTCAAGCACTTTGATGCTGAGTGAACTTCCAAGTTGTAGTCTATGGTTTGTTTGGGGTTTTTGTTCATTTGTTTTGAGACAAAATTTTTTATCTTAAATTTTATTTACTTATAATTATGTGTGGGTGCTCTGCACGTATACCTACTTGCCAGAAGAGGGCATCAGATCTCATTATAGATAGTTGTGAGTCACCATGTGGGTGCTGGGTATTGAACTCAGGACCTCTGGAAGAGCAGCCAGTGCTCTTAACTGCTGGGCCATCTCTCTAGCCTGAGACAAAGTTTTTAACTGATCAAGATATTCATTCAGGTATAGCTTTAATCCCAACATGGGGTGGGGGGCAGAGGTAGGTGGATCTCAGTGAGTTTCAGGCTAGCCAGGACCACACAGTGAAACTTGGGCTGAGACTGGAGGATCATGGCTTTGAGGCCAGCTTGACTGGCTGCATGGCTACATAGACAGACTCTATCTCAAAACACAAGAAGCAAGTGAACAAAGTTGCTTGTGAGGCCTTGTATGTGAGTTTGGGGATAACTCTGTGACGGGTGCCAAATGAGCCTGTGTTCTCTAGGACTTGGGGTGCTATCCCATCTACCAGAGATAGGGTGGGGATGAAGCTCCCCCCACTCACCTGGGTCCACTGTTTCTCCTGGCATCTTTTGTACTGGAATTGACAGATGAGAACCTTATGAGATGGCCACAGGGGTGTGTCCCATGGCACAGTGGCCTCCAGGGATTCATCCTCATAAAACTCCACATTAGGGAGGAGCCGGGGGGTGTCTGGCTTCACTGCAAATAGGAGGCCAGAGTGCACTGAGCTAGGGCCTCTAGCCACCCTCCCGACACCCCACTTCCCCTCATCCCACCCGGCACTATGCCTCACCCTCCCACCGAGTTACTTTGGGTTTCCAGGTTCACAAGGACAGGGGACCAGAGAGGTTGGCCCTCTTGTGTTCCCCAAATGAGGAGTGTGTCACCCATGGTGAACTGTTCCCGGGGGATGGTCACCCAGCTCTGCCTGGAAGGCACCTTCACCTCCTGGGTTCTGTTGGAATGGCTGTGAAGAGACATACAGGGGAGAGACACAGGTTGGCACAGGCTAAGCACCCCTGCATTGACCATGCCCTCATTCTGCTCTGCTGGGGTTTGAAGCCCTGCTCTGTTTCAAAGAGGTGTGGCCTGAGGCAAGTGACTTCATTTCTCTATTCCTCTTCTGCAAAATGTATGCAATACACATGCAGTTGAAAGAGCTCAATAGTGGGTCAGGTGACTGTGACTCCTGCCGCCTCAGCGCACCAGAGATGGAAGCAGGAGAATCGTTAGAGGCCAGCTTCACACAGTAAGACCCTGTCTCAGAAAGCAGGCCCTCCTCCATGCCTCCTCCCAAAGCCCTTTTCACTGTCCCTTACTTAGCCCAATTAAATGGAGTTTTCAGACAGACATCCCCACCCTGCACCACACCAGGTCCAGCTTTCATTGTTCTGATTCCAAGCACTAGACTGATTTTGAGACAGTATTTCATGTAGCCCAGGCTGGCCACTGGTTGGCTTTGAACTCCTAATCTTCCTGCTCCATCTTCCAGGTTCTGGGGTTATAGGTGCGTGTCACTATGCCAGCTTAGACTGGTTCTCAGATTGAACTAAACTGCTTTTAAAAAGTTAAGCTACTTGCCTGACATCGTCCAACAGAAATCTAAGCCTCCTAGTACTACACACCTTTTTCTTTGCCACGTGCCGACTGCATTGATGAACAGAATCAATCAAGGGAGCACGTGCTGTCATTACTGTCACGGAGGCACTTAGAGAAGGTAACTAGCCCAGAGTTATTCAGTAAGGAAATGGGTGGGACCTGGCTTGAAAGTAGTGTGGAAGGAATTTCCAGCGGCTGGACTCTGGGTCCTCTTAACCAAAGCCAGTTGAAATCTGAGTGTCCACTTGCTGAGCCTCAGTTTCCCCAGACCACTCCAGGGTACTCACTACTTCTGACTCTGGAGGCACAGCACAGGTGGAGTCTCCAGGTCGCTCTGAACTTCCCAGGAGCAGTTCAGGATTCCCGAGGGGCCGACGCTGTAGCACTGCAGTGGGCCAGGGCTGCCTGCGGGGGCGCAGAGGGCCGGGAGAGCCACAATCAAGTTCTGGGGCCTAAGCATACCGGGCTGTGGATGTGTCCCCTTCTCCTGCGCGGGGGTGCCAAACTGGAGCCCAGGGCCTGGCACGTGCTGGGATGGCGCGGAGCGAGTCCGGAGCCCCTCCCCATCCTGTTACATCCTGTTGTCGCCCAGTCCCCAACGCCCTACAAGCCCCAAGCTGGCCACTCAGCAAGCCTCTCACCGTGGGGCCGCGTCCCGAGCAGCAGTGGCAGCAGCAGCAGCAGCTCCAACGGCGTGAGGAGCGCAACCCGGGACCCGACCATGACTCCCAGAGACAACAGAAACCGCCAAGCCCCGGGCTCCGCAGCCTGAGAAGGAAGATAGCCCGCCCCTGGCGGGAAGTCCTCAAATCCGCCCACCCCCAGCAATGACACGCACGCGTGCAAATGCTCAGAATTGCACCTTTATTTTGTGGTTGGAAAGTCTGAGTACTGGGGACCCCGTGTCCCCAGCCCTGGTGTCAGCAGCAGAGTTCTTTGGAGTGGGGACTGAAGAAATAAGGGGCAGGTTGCACTGGCCGGGGAAACAGAGGTGGCAATTAGGACCAGACAGGTTGTTCAGTGTGGCCAGTTTGGGTAGGTAGCCACCTGGCTGCAGCCGGGCTCGGGGGGACTGGGATTGGGCAGGGAAACAACTCAGCCATGAAGATCAAGTTTCTGTTTGGCTGGGTAGGGGTGTGGCTCGGAACAAGATGGGAAAAGTTTCGGCAGAGGGTCTGTGAAGAGACCACAGAGGCTCCCATGCCTTGCCTGGAGGAATGCTTGTGATCCTCGCACAGCAGACAGCAGGTTGGAGGCACGACTGCTTCCTTATCGCCCAACCGGGGTCCTAGCACAAGCTACTAATTTGGCTCTTGCTACAGCCCCACTCGCAGCAGCTGCTGGAAAGGCCAGACAGGACATCTCTGCTGCCCCGAACCACTCCAGACAACACTTGCCAGCTGGGCCGACCGCTATAGAAGGCCTGGGGGGATTTGGTCAGGGCCAGCCACTCGCTGGAGCCCACAGCTTCGTCCAGTTCGCTCTCCAGGTTGTTGGTATTGGCTTCTGCATCAGGGAAGAAGTCCCCTGCGAAGCAAAGGAAACATTAGGGCTCAGAACTGCCACCTCAGAATGCCGGCTCCAGTCTGACCAGGATCAAGGTTGCTGTTCAAAATTTCATTTCTTGCAGTTTGTTACCAGTTTCAGTACTAAGCCTGAGTTTCCTGTCACAGATTTCATGCTATTCTTTATTTAATGTGGACCAGTAGATGAAAGTTATGCATCTGGAAGCCAAGCTCCCTAAATTAGAGTCATAAATGAGATTGCTTCTCTGAGGCTTGGTTTTCTTTTCTGAGAAGTGGGCAGAGAGAAGAACTCCTACTCTCTTTGGTTTTATCACGAGTGGGAAATGCAACACCAGTAAAGCACAATAATATTGGACACACAACAACCCTCAAGAGAACCCTAATCATTTGTTGGCAGTCCTGATAGTTTATCACATTAGCTTCTTTGGTCCTCTCAGGGACAGCCCCTGAGCTGTGCCCATTGCCACCCACTATCCAAATGTGAGCACCACTCCTCAGTGAGGACACAGCCATTTGGCCATGGAGCTACTGTTTTAACCAGGCACACTCCTGCCTGCACACACATCCATCATCTATCTATAGATTATCGATCCATTCATCACCATCTTGCCCCATTTTTTGTTTTTTGAGAAAAGGTCTCAGACTGCCCTGGGACACACGACCATTCTGCCTCAGCTTCCCAGAGTGTTGGGATTCTAGCCATATGCCATCAAGCCCAGTGTGAACCTTCATCATTCCCCTTGCCTCTAAGGAGCTGCACTCTCCTGGCCTCTCTTATTCCAATCACACTAAATTGTCTGCCCTGTAAAGAATTCTGCCAGACCTCACCCACTGTGTCTTCCATTTCACCAGGAACTGTATCTGCAAGAGGCAGCAGGGGCTAGAGGGGCCAGGAGGTGGCAAGATCAAGTCCCCCTCCCTGTCTGCTGACTGGCCTCGAAAACCTGCTGCCCTCATCCATGGAGATCAGACACTTCTGCTCCGTGCTTGGTGCCATGCTCCACACAGCCAGGACTCAGCAAAAGGGTGGCCTGATGACTCCCACTGTCACACCCCTGCTGCCAAACCCAGGATGGCTGGCTTCCATCTTAAGTCTGCATTTGTACCACCCCAGTCCCAGGGAAGCTCAGGCCAGGTAGGTGTTCCCACTGCACGTGGCTGGACAGGGACTGTATTCTACCACACCTCCTTTCTTTTCTATAAATTTTAAGACTGGGTCTTAATCTGTATCCCAGGCTGCCCTTAAATGTGGGAAACTTCTGCTTCCACCTTTCAAGTGTTTAGAAGTTCAGTGTACACCATGCCTGGCTCATACAACTCCTCCTCTGTTTTGGCTATGTGCCCATCTGACCACCTGTTCCAGGTTGATTGCCCCCCACCCCCCACTCACCAAGAGTGTTGTGGGCCAAGGTGTCCGCCCGGCGCCATCGTGAGCCCCCGCAGGTGAAGATGACCGCACGGATGAATTCTCGGCCGCACAACTTCACCCCATAGGGCGCTGGCCTCGCATCAGCCTGCAGCTGCAGAGCCCCAGTGAGAGCCCAGCAAGCCAGCAGCAGCAGCCGGAGGGTTGCCATGCTCAGCTGAGATGCCTGCAACCGAGGTGGCTCTCCTTGCACCACCTCTGTCCCCCATTTATACACACTGGCTCTCGGCCCTGCCCACTGACCTGAGTTATCTTTCTAGCAGAAGGGAGACAGTCAGCAACCTGACCTTTACCATCTCCTTGCCAAGAGATAACCTTTCGTTTGGACAGGATGACACGGCTCAGCTCTCTGTCACCTTCCACACCGGAGAAGTTCTGCTTCATCTATTATTAAGTGCTGGGGATTATTATATAAGTAAGTCACCGCCTTTCCATGATTTGTTTAATGTATCTTCCTCGCTCTTCCCCTCCTCTCTTCTTCTTTTCTTCCTCTCTCTCTCTCTCTCTCTCTCTCTCTCTTTCTTCCTTCTTATTTATTTTCATTCATAGGCAGAATCTTCTAGCCTTGCCAGCCTCAAACCCCAGCATCAAGAGCCCCACTGGAGCTGGAGAGATGGCACTCCAGTGCCATCCTCTACCTATGAGGCATCCTGTTCTTCCAGGTGGCCTGAGTTTGGTTTCCCTGCAACCAAAGCAGGAAGCTCACAGCTCCTGTAACTCTAGTTACAGGGAATTTGATACCCCCATCTGGCCTCTTGTGGAACCTGCATGCACATGCTCTACATAATACTCACACACACACACACATACTCACACACACATATATACATACACACACATACACACACATATATACATACTCACACACACACACACATACTCACACACACATATACACACACATATATACATACTCACACACACACACACATATACATACTCACACACACATATATACATACACACACATACACACACACATATATACATACTCACACACACACACACATACTCACACACACATATACACACACATATATACATACTCACACACACACACACATACTCACACACACATATACACACACATATATACATACTCACACACACACACACATACTCACACACACATATACACACACATATATACATACTCACACACACACACACATACTCACACACACATATACACACACATATATACATACTCACACACACACACACATACTCACACACACATATACACACACATATATACATACTCACACACACACACACATACTCACACACACATATACACACACATATATACATACTCACACACACACACACATACTCACACACACATATACACACACATATATACATACTCACACACACACACACACACATATATACATACACACATATACACACACACATACTCACACACACACATATATATATACATACACACATATGCACACACATACTCACACACACACACACATATATACATACACACATATACACACACACATACTCACACACACACACATATATACATACACACACATACACACACACACACACATATATATACACACACACATACACACACATATATACATACACACACATACACACACACACACACATATATATACACACACACATACACACACATATATACATACACACATACACACACACATATACCACACATATACAGACATAACAATAAAAAGCACACCTTAAAGAAAGCTCACTCACTGTCCTGCAGGACAGCTGTGACCCTTGACATTGGTCCTGGGAGCCAACTGTGCTCCCTGTACTCATGAGGCGGCGGAGGAGGATTGTGGGGGTGAAGCATGAGACAGGCTGAGGGAGGGTGCAGCACTTGCTGCTCTTCAGAGAACAGGTGTTTGGTTCCCAGCACCCACACTGGGGACTCACAATCACTTGGGACTCTCGTTCCAGGGCATCCGATGCCCTCTTCTGGCCTCCACAGGCACCTGCAAGCACATACTACACAAACTCATTCAGGCACACACACATACTCAAGTAATAAATAAATAAATAGATGACAGAGCAATAGAATACTTGTCTTGGGTTCAATCCTCATTGCTGAAAATAATAATAAAGACAGGATCCTATCCCAGTACTGAGCTAGTCAGTGACTGCATAGCCCAGACTGACTTCAGACTCTCTATCCATCTGCCTTAGCCTCCTGAGGGCTGAGTGACAGGTTTTAAAATTATTGTTACTGCCAGACATGATGGCTCATAGCCTTAATCCCCAGCACCCAGGAGGCGGGGGCAGGGAGAACTCTGTGAGTTTGAGGCCAGCCTGGTCTACACAGTGAGTTCCAGAACAGCCAGAGTTATTACAAGACCCTGTCTTTAAAAGCCCAAGTTTTAAAAATTAATTCTGCATACATTTTTATTTATGTCATTGTGCATGTGTGTTACATTTATAGGCCAGAATAGGGTGTCAACCCCTGGGAGCTGGAGCCATAGGCTGTGCGGCTGACATTGCTGCTGGGAACAGAACTTGGGTCCTCTGCACAAGAAGAAAATGCTTTTAGCCACTGAGCTACCTTTCAGCCCAAGTTACTATTATTGTGAGATGGGGTCTTGTTCTGTAGTTCTGGATGGCCTAGAATTTGCTACACTTGCTACACAAGAATGGCCTTAGGGCTGGAGAGGTGGCTCAGTGGAGCCCAGCTTCCCTTCCAGAAGATCTGTTCCAATTCCTAGCACCCACTTGGTAGCTCACAGCCTCAGTAACTCCAGTTCCAGGGAATCTGATGCCCTCTTCTGGCCCCTGCAGGCACTACACATGCAAGTGGTGCGCAGGTATAGGTGTAGGGAAAACACCTGTGCACATGAAAACATCATTTAAAAATAAATAGAAGATGAAGAGTCTTCAACCTGTGCTGGGTCCTCCTGCCTCTGCCCCACAGATAAGAGATTAGTGATAGGGGTTTTTTCTTAATTCTTTCCTATGGCAGCAAAAGGGAGAGATGGGGGAGACGGGGAGGGGGGGAGAGTCGAAAGAGAGTGAGAGGAAGAGGAGGACGAGAAAGGAAGCAACGGACAGAAGGGATGAAGGGTGATATATCTCCAGGCCCCACACCTGCTAGGAACGTGCTCTACCACAGCTGCATGCCAAGAACTTAAATTGCTTTTTAAGAATTAACATTTTAGCTGAGTGGTGGTGGTACACGCCTTTAATCCCAGCACTCGGGAGGCAGAGGCAGGTGGATCTCTGTGAGTTCGAGACCAGCCTGGTCTACAAGAGCGAGTTCCAGGACAGCCTCCAAAACCACAGAGAAACCATGTCTTGAACCCCCCCCCCCAGAAAAAGAATTAAGATATTAAATTTCATTTCATCCAGTTAGTTATTTAAGGGGGCACGCCATGGTGTACATGTTTGCAGAAATCATTTCTCCCACCGCATGAGCCCTGGGGCTTGAACCTGGATTTCCAGACTTGGTGGCAAGCACTTTTACCCATTTTACCAGCCCTCCTGCGACCACTGTTTCATTTGTTCAAGACAGGGTACCACTAAGTAGCCAGGTTGCCCTTGCGCTCACTATACAGTCTAAGCTGGCCTTGGACTTGCACTCCTCTGGCCTCAGCCTCCACAGGAGCTGGGACTACAGTACTTGCTCTGGTGCCAGCCAGGGAAATGCTCAGCACTCAGCCCATCAGCCCTGCTTTGCAACGTCTGTCAGTTTCTGGTTGGTTTCAAGATATTAGTGAGATGTCAACTCAATGTCCTCAAAATCTTTCTTAAAAAAAAAAAATACTGTCGAGCAGTGGTGGAGCACGCCTTTTATCCCAGCACTCAGGAGGCAGAGGCAGGCTGATCTCTGAGTTCGAGGCCAGCCTGGTCTACATAGTGAGTTCCAGGACAGCCAGGGCTACACAGAGAAACCCTGTCTCAAAATACCCAAAAAAAGACTTAAATTATTTTAGATTTATTTTATGTGTGTGAGTGTTTTACCTGCATGTCTGTCTGTGCACCACCCTTGTGGAGAGGTCAGAAGTGGAGTTACAAAAGGTTCTGAGCTCCATATGGATGCTGGGAACTTAACCCAGGTCCTCTGGAGGAGTCACAGCTGTTCTTAACTCCTGACCTGTTTCTCCAGCCCCATCAGGTGCATACGGTCCCCTTGGAGACAGAAAGAATGTCAGATTATCTGAAAGGGTAGTTCAGACAGTTTTTCACCATCATATGGGTGCTGGGAACCAAACCCAAGACTCTAGAAGAACAGTCAGTGTGCTTAACTGCTGACCTGTCAAATTTCTGAAACATTAACACATCTACTAGCCAGCTCTCCAAGGCAGTCTGGAAAGCAAAACCCGTGAGTGCAAATAGAGTCATTTAAAAAGTGTGTGTGTGTGTGTGTGTGTGTGTGTGTGTGTGTGTGTGTGTGTGCTGTGGGGATGGGTGGCACAGGTGTAATGCATGTGTGTGTACTGCGGGTGGGTGTGCCATAGGTGCAATGTATGCATGTGTGGTGTGGGGGTAGGGGTAGTCCAGGTGTGCACAGAGGTCAGAGGACATGGGGCATCCTATGCTCTAAGTCTCTACCGAGTTCTCTTGACACAAGGTCTCTTGCACTAGTGGTCTGACTGTCTCCAGCCTCCACAGCAATGGAGTTACAGACCCGTGGGGCCACACCCAGCCTTTTAATGTGGGTTCTGGGAATTTGAACTCAGGTCCTCATGGTTTTGCAGCAAACACTCTTACCCACTGAGCAGTGTCCTCGGCCCTGACATGTGCTATTTAAAGAATGGATATAAATAAGCTGCCCGTTCTTGTCTTCATCAGGCCAGAGACTGGATGAGCACACGTGCAGACACCCTCTTCTAAACCCTGCAAGATCCCACTGGTTACCATTCTTCCCTGACTTCACAGATGACTGACCCCCTCACCTTTTCATCATTTCTTTGTTTTCCGTTCATAGATGTGTGTGTGTTTTGAAGTCCTGGAGATAAACGCAGACCCTCAGGCACATCTGGAGAGTGACACTGAGCCACACAAACAGATGCAGATTATGAATGGCTGGCTTTTTTTTTTTTTTTAAATTGGATTATAGTTTAATAGTTTTTTTTCCTTTTTTGGGGGTGGGGGTTCAAGACAGGGTTTCTCTGAGGCTTTGAAGGCTGCCCTGGCACTCGCTCTTGTAGACCAGGCTGGTCTGGAACTCACAGAGATCTGCCTGCCTCTGCCTCCCCAGTGCTGGGATTAAAGGCATGCACCACCACTGCCCAGCTTAATAGTGTTTTGTTTTTTTTTTGTAATCATCACATTCTTAGTTTATTTTTTATGTTTCTGTTCTTGTGCTAGTGCTATGACATGAATGTGAGGTCAGAGAACACCCCCCCCCCTGTGTCTCTCTTCTCCCCCCCTTTTAGTT